ACATACCCAGGGAAGATAAATGTATTAGTCCACCCCCAACCCCACCCCCCCAGATGCTCAGCTAGGCCACAAGTGATCTGTAGCCAGGTGAGAGGCCCCCTATTGTGAGAACCGGATTGTGGGCAGAGTCTAAAAGCATGCAGCTTCTCCAAAAGACCCAGCTATAGTATTGAGAACCTTCCCAGTTGCTGCCGGAGTATTGCAGTTCCAGGCAGCACCCTGTGTCCTTGGAACTGGTATCCTTCTAGCTGTTAGCCTGTGCTACCAAAGCGACCATTCTTCATTGAGAGGGATGGTGTTTATGAGGATAAGTGCAAGTAGCGGGTTGTGTTCTGAACTGTTTTATTGAAGTGGTGATTCTCACCTAGATTCTCTGTTTCTATGCTATGCAGACACGTTACCCTGATTGAGCAATAGAGACAATGTTGTGAAGAGTTCATGTTTCTATTTTTTATTATTCTAAAGTGTATGCATGCTTTTTGCCATCCTAACCCAGTTTTGCATTATTGATCTTACTTTACATCTGTTTAGTAAACGGCATATTAGAGTTACTCCCTGTCTGATCATTTGGCCCATTACCTATTCTGTTAAATGTGTAATGGTTTACCTCTAGTTCCACTTAAAGCCTCAGACATCAAGGGGCCCATTGCAGCTGCACTTTCCTCGATATACTGTTCCTTTTTACAAAATGATCAGTGATACTTTGACATAAATGTAATGCATCTAACAATAGCTTCTGTGTCTCCAAGTAAGCCAATGCATAACCTAATTTTATATTTTATATATATATATATATATATATATATATATATATATATATATATAGATATATATTGTATATACAGTATAAGTATAACATTCCCTGCTTGTAATTTACTACTCTTCTACTTTTCAAATTACAGGATTTCAATCTTGAAAAATACTTTTTAAAGTGCACAGTTGTTACAGCCCAATGACTGGAATAACTAGACGTCACCTGGAAGAAAGTCCATCAAAAGACATTAGAATGTCATGTCTTTTTGCTGGCAACAAAATACAGCACCATTTTGCATACAGCACTTTCCAGTAAAACCCTGCACTGTGCAGTCACCCATATAATAATAATCATTCATAAACCATCCCCAAGTGATCTATCAAGATCAGTCAGGGATGAAATCTCAATAAGTTCCTATGAGTTAATATAGGGTGCTACTGAATAAGCCTCAATAGCACTGGTGACATGTAATATTTTCACTATCCAACCCTAAGCCAGGTAAAAACAGCAGATTATTTTCTTGTTCAAAATGTCTATTGACTTGTATCAGTATCATGATGCTTAGGTTACAAAGATTACAGCAAGCTTTCAGCTAGTGACCCAGATACATGGGGAACGCAGACTAACATCAGTAACCGAGGACAAAATACTATAAAGGGCATACCTAAATGCTGAGAAAGTGAATGTGTCAATCTGAGAAACCCAGGCTGTAAGAGAGGCGTTGTAGTTGGCTGTACCTAACCCGACTCCAAACCTGCTAGAACATTGTCCCTCAGCTGTGAGCGAACCCTCTTCCATCTTGTGACCTACTCCTTGCTATAGGCCTCCATGTGACATTCCTGGCCATAGAACTTTGAATCCCCAAGAAAGAAATATCCACACAAGAAGTACTTTTGCTGCACTTTACTGGTGGTATTCAAGAAATGGCTAACAGTCACATCACAAGGACATACATTCCAGAGTCACTTGACATTACACAGTCAATTACATTTAGTGGAAGGTCAGCAGGACTTATAAGTGAAAGCATGTGCAGCATTTCAGCAGCCATCTCCCTATCAGTCTCTCTTCTGCCCAGGGTCTTTAGTACGTACAGGTTTGTGTTCTTTGTTGACACCTCCTAGCTGGATACACCTAGGATAACCAAGGAACCCACCAAGGAAGCAGCCTCACATGGATCTCCAGCCTCGCCTAAAAAGACTTTTGCAATCTGTCCTAGTGTCCACAAGGGACAGAAAGATTACAGCCAGCTCCTCCTGAGTACAGGTCCACTCCATCCAGCCTCCTGCCCTATCCAGGGCCTAGGTGTTCTGACTACATCTTCACAGGCATAGGGTGTTTAGCACCCATGCCCCAAGTGTGTGTGTTCTGCTCCCCACCTGGCTTATATGTAGGTGCTGAATTACCCCTGAAATCACTGTGGGAGGGCTTTACCTAAAAGGATCCCAACACCTGGTGTCAATACCTGCTGTGCCAGACACTATTTTGGTACAGAGCCACTTAAAGCGTAGAAGGCTGCCTGGGGTTGGACAAGTAAGAGAGAAAGGGGGAAAGAAAAGAGGAGCGAAGGACTGAGGGGTAAGGGAAGGCTGAATTTGGGGGTCTGCTGGGTAGTGGGATTAAAAGGGCGGAATGGAGTCAAGAACTAAAGTTTTTAGCAGGAGAGCATCAAAGTGTGGATGAAGATAGTGGTCCACCCATAAATGACAGACTTTCGCATCTTCTGTGGATCTATCAACTACTTCAAATTTAGCACGGACCAAAGCTTGCATAACTTATTATAACCTATTCTTATTCCTAACTACAATGAGTGAGGGGGATTTCCAAGCATTTTCCATGGTTTGCTATGCAGCCATAGTCACCTGCAATAATAACTTTAATTGAATCAACGTAGCATCCTTTGGCGGTGGTTGAGAAGTGCCACGAGAGGATCGGGGTGATAGATTTTAAAAACAAATAAGATATCATTTAAAAATTGTCCATCCAATACCAACATGTTATACTGAAGAAAAAAAAAATAGAGCATGCCCTACTTTTTTCAGCGCAATGGTGTGACCTGAACTTATAAGACTCAAGGCTTTGTTTATGCATTTGGACTGCATTAGGCAAGGCTGCCCAATGCATTTGGTGTGAATGAGCCCTAATTTTACAGCAATAAAGAGAGGAATTGAACTGCTCTAAAGAAAATAAATGAAATACAAAAAAATAACAATATAGTTCATTAATATTTAAACTGTACGCTCTTTGAGCGTTCAAGGGTATTCAATTCACACAACACGCTATGAACAATGTCCCATTGCATACGTATTGTCAGTATGAATAGAAATCTCACCTAAAGACAGACTGTTCTTGCAAAATGAAAACATAACAGAAAGCTGTGAGTGGTAGAAAATCACGAATGCGTACAAGCGTGACAGACGTTTGTACTACAATCCAAACCCATGGGGCAGGCGACATCTCAAAAGCTACTGTACCTACTTTTGCTTTTTTTCTTCTTGAGAATAAAAGCTTTTGTGCGGCACGCTATGCTCCTTTTTCTCCCACTCAAAACAAACACACATGTACCATTTGATAAAGCGTGTAAGAGCAAACGTCTTCTTTACAATCCTACCACGATGCGGAGGATGGGACCGGACAATGCTGGGAATAGCGCAAAGCGTCAATAGGACGAACCGCCAGCCACTCCCTCATTCCATTTCCCTTCTCACAGCTGCCAACATAAAAATGCAGCCTGCTTATAACAATGGGCAAAATAATTGCCTTTCACTGTGCGCACTGCACCACAGAGTTATTACCCAATCCATAAAAAGTTAAAAACTTAAAACCGCTACATTAAAGTGAAAAAAAAAAATAAAAATTGAAAAGCAGATTTAAAAAAGGGGAAAAACCAGTGAAATAGAAACATAAAAGACCAAAATAATCTAAAAAAAATTCTGGAAATTTTCTTCTCTAGCACTCGTCCATTTAAAACATGTATAATGCCTGTGTAGGTTGCACAAATGAATGATCACATTACGTCTTACAGTAGATCGCAATGGGTGGCGGCAGACGCAGCATGACTCCCAATAATATTTCTGGTAAAGGAGATCAGCTATTCTGTGTATGAGCATCCCTCCCAGCTTGTAAAACTCACACAAAATTCGTCAGATGCTATATTAAGGGATTGGTGTTGCCAATAGAAATGATTGTTTCAGTTAGACTGGAGTTTTTTGAAAAAAATTTAATTATTAAAATTATTATTTTTAAATTATTTAAATTTAAATGATTAATTTTATTAAAAAATTTAAAATATGATCAGTGAAGAGGCCCTTGAGGCCTAACTTGATCTGAATGTCTTTTTTCATCTCCAGGCTAGGTTCACACTGCTGCAATTTTGACCCAGCTTTCAGTATAATTATGTAATGCTACTTTGATAAGGTTTGTATATTCTATGTGGTCAAAATCGCACTGGAATCTCACTAAAGTAGTACAGGAACCTTTTCCAAAATCGAGCTGTGCCAAAGCACACGGATGTGAACGTAAACCTTTGAAAACAATGTGATTTCCAATGTCATGCAATTCTGTGTGACGTAAGTCGCATGTGACATCGCACTAGGCCTTAGGCCATTTTCACACAGGAGTACTTCCCTGTGAAGAGCCATGTTTGCCTGCACAGAATGCACAGGTGTTCTATGCAACTACAGGCACGCAGTCCCATTTATGTCGACTGAAATGCAAAGGTTGTTGCTCCCAATTTGATAGCTGCACAGGTGCGGATGCATTTCCTGGACTGCCCACCCCACAGCAATGTCCACTATGGAGCAGCGGCTGTGCCTGTGCAGCCGCTGCATCCCAATGGAGATGAGTGGGACTGCCCGCACCGTGCATTCCCGGTAAATCCGACCCTCGAGCTGGTGTATGCTGCAGTACACCCATGTGAAGTTGAATCTACTTATATTTTGCCCTCCCTGGTCCCCTCCCCCAATCATCATGCTAATTAAATTATTAAATAAAACCTTCCCATTTGCCTTGCATACTTATTTTATACCCAGAGATGTCATGTCTAGGACTCTGTGCTTCTCTATGTTATGCAGGAAAATCATGGCTAGAGGGGAGGGCCAGAAGTAGCTTTAGATCAGTGTTTCTCAACCTTTTTTCAGTCAAGGCACCCTTTAAAATTATGGACAGTCTCGAGGCACCCTTTAAAATTATGGACAGTCTCGAGGCACCCTTTAAAATTATGGACAGTCTCGAGGCACCCTTTAAAATTATGGACAGTTCCGAGGCACCCTTTAAAATTATGGACAGTCTCGAGGCACTCTTTAAAATTATGGATAGTCTCGAGGCACCCTTTAAAATTATGGACAGTCCTGAGGCACCCTTTAAATTATGGACAGTCCCGAGGCACCCTTTAAAAGTATGGACAGTCTCGAGGCACCCTTTAAAGTTATGGACAGTCTCGAGGCACCCTTTAAAATTATGGACAGTCCTGAGGCACCCTTTAAATTATGGACAGTCCCGAGGCACCCTTTAAAATTATGGACAGTCCCAAGGCACCCTTTAAAATTATGGACAATCCCGAGGCACGCTTTAAATTATGGACAGTCCGGAGGCACCCTTTAAAATTATGGACAGTCCGGAGGCACCCTTTAAAATTATGGACAGTCTCGAGGCACCCTTTAAAATTATGGACAGTCCCGAAGCACCCTTTAAAATTATTGACAATCCTGAAGCACCCTTTAAATTATGGACAGTCCCAATTGTGGACAGGCACCCTTTAAAATTATGGACAGTCCCGAAGCACCCTTTAAATTGTGGACAGTCCTGAGGCACCCTTTAAAATTATGGACAGTCCCAAGGCCCGAAGCATCCTTTAAAATTATGGACAGTCCTGAGGCACCCTTTAAAATTATGGACAGTCCCAAGGCACCCTTTAAAATTATGGACAGTCCCGAAGCACCCTTTAAATTGTGGACAGTCCTGAGGCACCCTTTAAAATTATGGACAGTCCCGAAGCATCCTTTAAATTATGGACAGTCCTGAGGCACCCTTTAAAATTATGGGCAGTCTCGAGGCACCCTTTAAAATTATGGACAGTCCCGAAGCACCCTTTAAAATTATTGACAGTCCTGAAGCACCCTTTAAATTATGGACAGTCCCAAGGCACCCTTTAAAATTATGGACAGTCCCGAAGCACCCTTTAAATTGTGGACAGTCCTGAGGCACCCTTTAAAATTATGGACAGTCCCGAAGCACCCTTTAAATTATGGACAGTCCTGAGGCACCCTTTAAAATTATGGACAGTCTCGAGGCACCCTTTAAAATTATGGACAGTCCCGAGGCAGCCTTTAAAATTATGGACAGTCCCGAGCAGGGGCGGACTGACAACTCATGGGACCCCCGGGCAATAGGGGATCATGGGGCCCCTGTGTCCTTGCCCAAACTCAAAAAAGCCTATGAAAAAGGTACTAGGGGCATCTCATGGGGCCCCCTACTGACCCTGTGCCCTCGGGCAGTGCCCAAGTTTGCAAATGGTCAGTCCGCCCCTGGTCCCGAGGCACCCTTTAAAATTATGGACAGTCTCGAAGCCCCCTTGACAATTATGGACAGTCCCGAGGCACCACTTGCCCTTCAGAGGATTTTTCCCCCCTTCCTGACCAGGCCATTTTTTGCATTACTACGCTGTGTTACTTTAACTAACAATTGCGCGGTCATGCAACGGTGCACCCAAACTAAATGTATGTCCTTTTTTTTCCCCATGAATAGAGCTTTCTTTTGGTGGTATTTGATTGCCTGTATGTTTTTTATTTTTTGAGCTGTAAAATAAAAAGCCCGACAATTTTGAGAAAAAAACCCAGTATTTTTTACTTTATTGCTATTAAACTTGTCCAGTTAAAAACATTTTAAAATCAAATTTCGTTATAAATTTAGGTCAAAATGTATTCTGCTTCATGTCTTTACTAAAAGAAATCATAATACGTGTAAATCAATTGGTTTACATGAAAGTTATAGCATCTACAAATGGCAGTATAGATACTGGAATTTTTTTTGTTTTTTTTACTAGTAACGGCGGCGATCCGCGACTTATAGCGAGACTGCAAGACTGCAGCGGGCATTCTGACACTGGGGGGGGGGGGGGAACTGATTTTGTGTCACTGGCATCCCCATAGACACCAATACAGTGATCAGTGCTAATAAAAAGCACTGACACTGTACTAATGGCACTGGGCAGGAAGGGGTTAACATCTGGGGTGATCAAAGGGGTAACTGTGTGCTGTTTCACTATGTATGCCGTGTGTGTGCTTTCAACTGTAAGCACACTGCTTTGTATGGCTCTGTTATGCATACAAAGCAGTGTGCAGGAGCTGACAGGGGAGAGAACTGTATTGTTTACATACAGTTCTCTCTCCCTGTTGGTAATGCTCAGTGATCACCAGATGCCAGCGAGTAATCACCCAGTGATTGACAGCCGAGGCTGTGAATAGTGGCTAGCGCACCCCCTACCCACAAATGCAAAATCACGTATATATACGTGACATATATCTGCTATAGGGCAGCAGGAAAGCGGTTAAAAATTATGGACAGTCCCGAGGCACCTTTTAAAATTATGGACAGTCCCGAGGCACCCTTTAAAATTATGGACAGTCTCGAGGCACCCCATTCTAAAAATGCGAAAAACTATTCTAGTTTTATATAATGCAGCAACATCCACACATGTTGGACACCCAACATTAGAGATGATTTATTCTTCCAAAGCAAATAGACTTTTGCACACTGGTACTGACTAGTTATCCAGTGTTTCGCCTCTCCCTCATTTTTCCTCCATCACTGAGCTAATGTGACCCCAGCACTGATGGAGAGGGGCAGGGGAGCTTCAAACTAGGATGCTGTGCAGGCAGCTGACATCCTCCTTACCAACTGATGATGTCATTGGTTGTCAGGATGCCGGCGGCTAGAAGGTCCTAATGGTGCACAATGAAAACCTGTGGCTTTGTGTAACTAGAAGGCAGGCTTGTTCCACCCACTGGCTTGTATACAGGTTTTGGGCCATTTTTAGACATTTTGCCAAGGCACCCCTGAAGAAGCCTCAAGGCACCCCAGGGTTCCTGGGCACTCTGGTTGAGAAAGGCTGGTTTAGAGTAAGCCATTTCAGTACAGGGAAGGAGCCTCTACAACTGTGCATGACTGAGGTTCAGCTTTAAGGACACTTGTCAAGTACCCTGAGTGTCATGTTTTACTCAATAGCTGCTATGTAAAAAAAAAAAAGAAAAAGAAAAAAAGAAGAAAATTAGTAATAAATCCGGCAGGAAATAAAAACAAACTTCCCAGAATCCCTGTGGACATGCGCACCTATCGCCATTAGCGAGGAAGCTCAGAGAAGAGGAATACAGGACAGCGCTGGATATTGAACAAACACCGAGCGGTACAATTATTCGGAGCACATTTCTTACACAAAGGGTGGAAGAACAGGAGGGGGACTGGTGAGGTTGGAGAGATTTTCTTAGGGAAAGCAACACAGGGGGAAGAATCTATAAATCAATAGTGTGTTCTGCTTATATGTGCAGAGATGGAAGGAGAGTGTTAATTGTGTGCCCTGCATGTGATGGGGATCATTTATCAAGAACATTTTCTGCACATTCTAATCAGTATCTCTAGAGCTTATGAAAAGACATTTTGCTAGCCATAACAACCAATCAGAATCATTTGTCATTTTCAAGCTTGAACTGCAAACATGATAGCAAGAAGCTGATTGGTTCCTACAGATAACAAGACTCGCTTTTCATATATGAGTACAGAGAGAAGGTTCCTAGTAGTGTTAAAGTGGTTGTAAACCTCAGAACTGAAATATGAACAAAGCATATCCTTCTATAGTGTGTACTTGTCTCAATCCAGAGCACTAAGGCTAGTTTCACATTGATCTGCCGCAAAATCGCAGCAGAAATGCATAAGCAGTTTACTGCGCTTTTGCCATGTTTACTGAGCGGTTTTTTTAAAGGACACGTGACTTAAAAACTGCACGAAAAACACTTCTTAGAGGCATTTTTGAGGTGCTTTTCAGGCGTTTTCCCATTGTTTTCAATGGGAAGAGGCATTTTTGGGGCTTTATTTAACTCACCAAACATGCCCCAAAGATGCTGCAAGCAGGAGTTTTTTACACTGCAATGCCTCAGTGTGAAAACATACATAGATATACATTCACATATATAAGGAAGCGTTTTTCTTGAGCTTTTCAGGTGATTTTTTTTTTTTATGCAAAACTGCTTCAAAAACTCCTCAGTTTGAAAGTAGCCTAAGTGTCATTTCTGTTTGCAGCCCTGTTCCTCTGTCATCAGCATTAGTCACTTTTGACAGGTTTTCCTGACACCAAGAGATAAAAAGGTGTCAATGGAGGGACACCCAGCACACAGTCTGTGATTGACAGCCTCAGCTCTGTGCCTTTGTGAAAGGGGGGGGGGGGGTTGTCTCTTCCTTCTAATCAACCCTCAGAGCTCTCCTTTAGCTAGATTCACACCTATGCAGCTTGCATTTGATGCATTTCTGCATTGAGTTTTGCGTTGCATTTTTGCTGCATTTTTGCCGTGTTTATTATGCATTTGGCGGTTTGTTTCATTTTTATTTTTCTTATTGCTAGACAGATTTTAAACACAACGCATCAAAAACATAAAAAAATGCAACAAAAATACAACACATGCTTTTCTGAAGCGTTCCCATTGAAATCTATATAACCAAAAATTTAACATTTTGTTTTCAAAAAAGTCCCTGACCCTTTCCAAAAAAGCGCACCTGGTGAAAACGCAGAGATGTGAACCTGTCCTACAGGAAATCATGGTAAATGGGCTGTAGTGCATTTCTGCAAAAAGCAAAACGCTGCAGAAAACACATAGGTGTTAACCTGGGGTTACTGAGCTCTGCAGTGTGTAATTTCAGATCTCCACCCCCTTTTTTTCTAAACTCTCAAACAAGCTGTTTAAATTCTGGACTTTGAATAGACATAAAGCATTACGGTTGCAGCATTTGTACACCCCCTGGCTCCTGCCTCTGCAGCTAAAGAGCGTGGTGGTTTGGCGGCAGTAAAAGCATGGCTCAATCACATTGTTTTACTGCTCTCCAGCCTCACGCATGAAGAAGCCCTTACAAACGTTGTGCAGGCATTGTGGAATGTCTATCAAGCTTCAGGAATTTATTTCCCAGGCTGGGTAAGTAAAGGAGAACATTCAGCCTTTGTTTTGTTCTGTATGATAGAGATCTATTCTACTTTACGAACATTTATCTGCTTCTGACTGGAATTAAGTTTTTGAACTTTGAATTATTATCATTATTATTATTATTAATAACAATAATATACAGAATGTATATAGCGCCAACAGTTTCTGGAGTGCCTTACAATGTAGAATTGATTGCATGCACCAGTGTACACTTGCAATAAATCAGCTGTGTTTTAATTAATTATGGTATTTTTTAAAAAATGAAACCAGTGTAAATACCTGAATGTGGCATGGTATCCGCCTCTTGGAATCCATGTACAGCAGAGCTCAGACTTGGAGAAGGAAGGGCAGGACTGGCCAATCAAATATGCTGCATGAAAATCTGCTGACAAGGAACTAGCAGAGACATGACCTTATTAATCTGCAGCTATCCCTTCAGTGTCCAATCAGCAAGCTGGGAGTGGACAGCTGACACCACTGCATGACCTAACTAACACAGGGTGTCAGCTGCTTGGCTCTACTGTCTGCCCAGGCTTCGTAAATTTCAGAACTGTACACTTTGCTAATCTTATGGTAGATACATCTCCAATATACACTATATTGCCAAAAGTATTGGGCCAGCCCTCCAAATCATTGGATTCAGGTGTTCCAATCATCTCCATGGCCACAGGTCATCACCTAGGCATGCAGACTGCTTCTACAAACATTTGTGAAAGAATGGGTCGTTCTCAGGAGCTCAGTGACTCCAAGCATGGTACCGTGATGGGTTGTCACCTGTGCAATAAGTCCATCCGTGACATTTCCTTGCTGCTAAATATTCCACGATCAACCAGGGGCAGACTGACAACTCATGGGCCCCCGGGCAATAGGGGATCATGGGGCCCCTGTGTCCTTGCCCAAACTCAAAAAAGCCTATGAAAAAGGTACCAGGGGCATCTCATGGGGCCCTCTACTGACCCCAGGCCCTCGGGCAGTACCCGAATTTCCAAATGGTCAGTCCGCCCCTGCGATCAACTATTAGGCTTGGTTCACATCTGTTCGGGTGGTGCCACTGTGGATCCGCACGGAAATCTGTGCAGCCGCACCACAGAGAAATGTGAACCCATGGGCGGGTGCCATTATTTCTAATGACACG